TTTAAAAAGACTAGGGTATGCAAAACAATTATCTTCTGCTTTTTGTTTAATCCAAGCATCACAGGGAAAAAATCCTTCCCCTTCCAATGTCACAGAACTTGGACATTGCTGTATCGCAAACCATCCCCCCCAGGGGATGTCTGTTTTTAACTTCAGACCCAGTTATCCTAAGGCGTGTTGCTGAGGGAAAGGTACTTGGTATGCACAAGTTTGTCCATTTTCCTTCCAGCTAGATGCCTGGTCCAGTAAAAGCTAACACCCACAAAAATCCTTGCCTCTTGCATGTGTTCAGTAATTCAGATCCAAAGGACTCTGCAGTAAAAGGTAGAGGGGAAAAAAAATTAAAGCAATTATCCCAAACACTTCCTTTCTCTGCTCTTGGCACGGTGAGGGGGCTCGGGGAAGTGTTTTCTGTCTAAGAGTCTGTCTGCATGACGCTGTCCTCCATAAGAAACATGGTCTGAGGTCCCTTTCTATTGCTGATTTTGCGAAGTCACAACTGCCACTCATTTTGCTCATCCCTATAACAGGACTGCACAACACACTCGTAGGTTTTGAAGTGCCTAGACCAATGATGCTCATCCCAAATGCCACAGCACCCTGGGGTGCTTTGAGATCCTTTCAAGGGTGTCACACAATGTTAGCGCAGTTAGGTATGCAAACTGCATTCTGCAGATAGACCCAGAGTTTTCAAATAGAAATCCATAGTTGTGGTCTTTCTGAGATCTTTGCAACAGAAAAACTGCTTTCTTATTTTCTTCGGTAGTCAAAAACAAGTGAAAAGTAAGAGCTGGCATTTTCCGGGGAGTGCTGTGAGTCTCTGCAGGGGTGCCTCAAGTCTGGGAAAGTTGAGAACTGCTGACCTAGATTCTCTTGACATCAGTGAATCATATAAAATGCCTTTCACTGTCCCAATGTGCAGCTTGCTGTTACTATTAAAGAGGCTTCATCGGGTGATCCCTTAAGAGACCTTCGTTGAGATGTTAGTTGGGGTGTTGCTATTCACTCTGAGGAGCCTTTAAGTTTTTGAACACAAGGGCTAACATGGTACCTGGACAGAGTGCGTCTTGCATCCTCTCTCTCTTGAGGAGCATCCATGCTGCGTAGGGCAACACCTTGCCTTCTTATGGGGGACAAACACAAGTCAGCACTTGTTTTGCCAGACTACGAGGCACCTTGAAGCAAGAAACAGCTCTGATATGTCAGTCTGCTTGGCGGAGCAAATGGCTGAGCTAGGCTAAAGTCACAGATGCTCATTAATCCATTGTTAAACTAGGACAAGGTATGTGGAGATGCAGTGATCATCAGATGCAAAGGATGTGCTTGGAATGGCAAGGACTCGAGGGCCTGTTGGCAAGAGACAAGGCTGCAGTCATGGGCTTTGCTCCGCCTTTCAATGACCCTGGAGTGACTGCACTGGAGTCACCATAAACTGAGAAACCAGCCCCATAAATGTGTAAAATTTGTAAAAATCTCTCTCTCTCTCCTTATGGATCATTTCCTTCCTCCTATGCCAAAATAAAAATTAACACATGCAAGAGCGCTGGAAGGGTTTACGTTTTCCAGCCAGTATCTTCATCAGAGCTAAATACTGATGTTCACAAACCTCTCACTTGATACTGAGTCACGTATCCTATGTATTTTAGTGGATAAGTAGGAATTGAGACCGTAGAGGAGATACTGGTCTTGGGCCACACACAGCCAAACGCAAGCACATGCTCCACAAACCAACCATCTGTCAATAATATACAACCTACAAGATAACTTTAGAAAGAATCAGTCTCCATGAAATATTTCTGCTGGAAACACTAAAATGCTCTCTGCTCAATGTGTTTTGTGCTCCTAGGAAGCAATATTATTTAGATGATGATAAATGTTTAAGTCACTGATGTTATGCCACCAGTCTTGTGTTCATGGGGCTATGGTTGCAACACTTTCAGCTTTCATTCAGAAACCTACATTTTAGGATTCATCTTCATGTAATTGTTTTTTTACAAAGGCCAATGCAGATTAAATAATCCCAAGAACAACTTTTTTCTTACAGTTTTGCTTGAAAGATGATTTTTTTTTGCAGCTACAACTGATTTTTAAGCGTGGATATTCTGTAATATAACTTGAGCCTTGACATTTTGATTAGTGCTTGGATTCTGAGAATTTCCCATATGGTGTTATACTGAATAATGGATTTCCTACCCCCGTATTTAAAATTGTCCTTGGCTGGAGTGAATAGCCAATGTCCAAAAGCAGAATGGCATGGAGAAATTTGCCATAAAAGGGAAACCTCTGATCCATTGCCCTACAGGATAACACTCCTCCTCTACCCCTTTTAAAAACGCAACACACATGGAAAAAATAAATGGTTCTGAATGCAGTGATCATGAAAACTGAAGGATGAACTACACTGAGAGGGAGCTGGTGGTGGGCAAATTGCGACATAGCCAGGCAGACCTTAGGGTTTTGTTCACACAGAGGGACTTCTACTGGCTGGTAAGGGCCATCACAGGCATGTTCACACTCGTGGGGCCTCTGGCAGCTTCATGTAGCTTAAGTTAAAAAATAAAAAGGTAAAAGTATGCATCAATATAGATGGTGAACACCCCCACTGGCACTGCTGCTAGTTTAGTATTATTATTGACATCAGCATCACCTAGCTGTGCACAGCACAGATTTCAACATAAAATACAACGTTCCCCCCAAAAAGATTAACATATTCTATTGTATTTCCTAGTCTCCAATACTAATAGTGGATACAAAAGACACAGGATAAGTAGAAAGCTGTATATTATTTTGGGCTCCCATGGATGGAAGGAAGATGTCAGTCTCTAAAGAATGAGGACTCAAACAAGATATTCAGTTGTGAGGTCTTTGGAACGGAAAGCATGCCTCCCTACACAGTTCTCCAGTGCACAGCATGTTGTGGGTAGTGCCAGAAATAGAGAATAAGAACAATGATTTTAAAATGACTTCCATAAGGATTTTAAAACGTACCACTCATTGGCACCCACAAGAAGCTGCTGAAGCTCTTAAATTACAGGTGTTGCTATAAACCATCACACTATATCTTTATATGGGAGACTGAACAGGCTTCAAAGGAGCACCACCAGCTTTTCAGGTCCCCTGTTGTCACGGCGGGGTCCTACAGGAGGGCCGTGATCTCCTTAAGGCCCCTTCCTCCGTGCCAAGTCGGCCGAAGGGCACCCTCGGATTCTCGCCCGCCACGTCTTTGATGTTCACATAAGGTTGGTAGGCTGCCTTTTGTCTCCTTGGACACGGTTAGTTGTGACCTCTGTCCCCTTGGACTCCCGGACCCCTTGTGGGTCTTGTCGTGCAAATGGGTGCCCTGGGCACCCTAGCCTTATGGGTTATGCGTGGCTCCAACCACCCCTTATACCACGCCCCAAGACTCGCAGTTGGAATCGACGTTAGTCTGTCTGTCTGTCTGTCTGTCTGTCTCTCTTTCTACATACACTGCCGCCCCCTCCTGGGGCTCTCCTCACCCACTGCGGGCCTTCTCTGCGCCGTCGCCCTCTCTCGGGGCCTTCTCAATAGTGCCCCCTCCTGGGGCTCGCCACACCCGCACTGGGCTTCTCAATAACACCCCCTCTCTGGGGCTCGCCGCGCCCAACTTGGGCTCCTCAATAATACGCTCCCCTCTCTGGGGCTCTCCGCGCCCACCCTAGGGCTTCTCAAGAGTGCCCCTCTCTAGGGCTGGGGTCTATGCACCCCATATGCTGCGCCCTCCTGGGCGCCGGGGTCCTCACACTCCCCTGTGAGGCCCCTTTGAGGATACTGCGCCCTCACTGGTGCTGGGGTCCCCACGCCGCTGTGGGTTCCCCCTGAGGCCTCCTCCAACCCCTAACAGCCTCACCCAAACCACCGGTGTAACATCAAAACCAAACAGAAACTCGAGCCTCTTGGCTATAACCTAAACATAAGCCACCTGGCTAAACCACGTTGCACCAACGCCCTAGAGCTGCCATCCATAACTCTGCTTAAGCGGTACCTGCGGTTCTTGCTGCTTCTTGCATCATGGCTGAGAGAGCTCCTGCCTCTCTGGCTGCTGGCAGAGAACTGCCAGCCTGGCGAGCCAGGCCCTGCCCCTTCCGGCCAGCTGACCGCTGGCAGGTGTGGGTCATTTGCTGCCTCCAGTTGCCCTGGCAACCCACAGCTGTGCTCCTTATCCACTGCTAGGGCTTTTTCTCTAGCAGTTTCTGCTCTAGGAGCAGGGCACCTCAGTGCTCTGCGACACCTGTACATAAATTAAATAAAAATCTCAATATGCATTTGCCCAACTGACCGTGAGGATTTGTTGTACTTACTTTCTCCTGTGACCACAATCCATGTGAGAGGCCAGATCTTTAACAGGTAATACTTTAACCTACTGCAGATTGTGCAACATAATTTATTCCAGAGACGGCAAGAGAGTTACGAGGTTTGGGGGAGAATTAATAAGTGAAAACAGACTGGGAATTTTTGCCGAGGCTGCCAGAATCATTTAATCCATTATTAAATGCTTCAAGGGACAAAATATCACTTCTTCTGCAAAGCCTTTCAATAATTATCCACTTACAATGCAGAAGCACAGCAACATACACTCCAACACTAATAAACCATCTATCTGATGTACCCAAACTCTATAATCTGTGTCTAGTTTGGGTTATAAGAGCCTGATTCCCTTTAAAATTGGACAGCTTTGCAGGGTATGCAAGGCTGATTTAGCTGTCCAGGGGAAAATACCTCTTGTACAGGGAAGTTTTCTGACAATGCAACTGCCTTAGGCTGTTCTTATGCTACCCCACCTTCACTCATGACATCTGGCCAAGGGTAGGGCCAGGAAGAAAAGAAGTGGACTTTAAATATGTTTGGGGTGTCCCTCTCCACCGGTCATTCTAGGTTGGCAGAATGGTCTTGTACTTTTTCAACACAATTTAGGGCAGCCTACAAGTGCGGATGGGGATTGCAGCTCTCCTGGGTTGCTCAGATCAGTGATTTTGGTTTGGCCAAGGAGAGATGTAGCCCATCCTGTTTCAGATCCAGATTCAAACTCTCCAAACTTCATTTCAAAGTTGTGTAAACTGAGTTTTAGTGCCTGTCTGTTAGAAGCAGAATCTTTTAAGGCTTAAAGGATACATGCCTGGTTTGGATAGTCAAGCCTTCAGTCCTCACATTTGTGGGCAGCATGTGTGGAAGAGGGGCTTCGTGATGGAGCAAAATGCTCTGTGTAGAGCAATCTTGCACGTCCTAAACAGATCTGGCTCAAGCAACCCAGTGCATTCCTATTCATTGTTCATTCCTACAAACTCTTCTCTTTTCATGACCAAAAAGTCAGGTCTGTTCTGCAGGGTTTTACCCAGATTTTTTTTTTTTTGACAAGCTAAGAGAAAAAAAAGTACATTATGCACTGCTAACCCAATATTACACATTGCTGTGGGGCTTTACAGGGCTGGTGGTGGGGAATGAGATCTGAGCAATAGTGCCCGTGAGCCAGGAGAGTCTAACCATAACTCAAGCATCTGCCACTGCCAGGAAAAGTGTCACTCGTGGGCCGTTACTGTCACCGGCTCTTGACCTTGTCCTTTTCATCGTGTATTTTATCATTGCACTGCATCAATCGTAAGAGATGGGAGGTGAAATAAATGCCTCTGCTGGGAGATCAAGAACGCCCATGGGCTATGTAATGGACTCTGTAATGTCCATAAGCAATCACATTTCATCATATTTATTCCTTCTTTGGAAAAGGAGTACAAATATTCAACATTTCAACAGAAAAAAACACTATCATGAACCACCACTTAACTCCACAGTAAAGCACCTGTATTGCCACTAGAGGTCACTAAGAACAGGTTTTTACAACAAATAAAACTATTAGTAAGCCCTCCTGCTTAAGATGGTCATATACATTAAGATTTAACCATAAAAATCAGCCCTTGGGGGTTTTTTGTCCTTATTTGCAGGCAGATAAATTTAATCAAGACATGCGCCAGATTGGCAGTTCTGGAGACAAGAGTGTTTCATTCACACGACCAGTACGGAGCACGGGGCAGAAATGGTGCGAATGCCTCCAGGCATCTCTGACCATAGGTTTGATGGCTGGCCTGAAGGGACCACCTCCAGGAAGAAACAGACATTTTATCCCGCGTCATCCATTCGGTCTCCGAAAATGCTTATCTCATTCAAGTATTTTGATTCTGATCCATTTTATCCCACATTGTTCATTCGGTCTCTGACCAGTCTGCAACAACTGCAAGAGGACCTTAGCTTAGCCCTGATTCTATGTGGAGCTGAACTAACGAACCAGGCGCACTTTGCTCAAGTTTCATTGAAGTCTACCAGGTCAGCTGTCCATTTCTGCACATTTTAAAAGCTGTTTGTTATGGCCGCAGACTTTCCCAGACTTGTGCTCATTCAAGCATTTGTTCCTGATTTGTTGAACCCGACCTGTGTCAGCAAGCAAGAAATCCAACTGAGCAGAAGCCAAGTCATCGTAAGCTGTAAAGATTCACAGCTTTTAGGACCCAAAGGGAACATTGTACATGATTTAATACATAATGCAAGCTATACAAGTTCATCATTGCTTCTGCATTGAGCCTGATAACTTGCATTTGATTAAAGAAATCTTCCAGAAAGGCATCCAGTCTTGATTTGAAGACTTTGAGAGGTGAAAAAAATCCACTCTTTTCCCTTAAGGGAAAGCTCCAAAGATTAGTAGGTACAGCCAGCATTCCTCTTCTTTGGTACATGGGCCTTGCTTTTAGCTTATTAAAGTCATTTTGTTTTTATGGGTCCAGCATCTCAGGTGATCCGGACTGTTTTGTAAAATTGCCCTGACTTCAATATTATTTACCACTTTGCTAATCTTCACACCATTTGTTCACACATTTTATCAGTAGTGATTTCGTATTTATTTCCAGACCATCGATGAAAGCACTGATCAGCCTTGTAGCGATCCCTGAAGAAACCCAGTATAAACTTTCCCATTCAATGACAGAGAGAGCTCTCCCTTCTTAATCCAATTAGAGTTCAGTTTATTGAGTTTGAATATCACTAACATTTTAATCAGAATATAATGCATCATGAAGGCAAATGTCATATGAAAGTCTATCACATCTATGCAAACTTGTAAGTTCATGACAAGATTAACTCAGGCTTGTTTGATGTAGTGTGGTTTTAGGGATGGGTTCCCTGTCCTTTAATTCATTATTGACCGAATCCCATATCAACTTTTCATATCAACCAGCTGATAATTGGGGGCCATTTTCTTTGCCTTATTAGCATGAAATTACCACACTTGGAATGTTCTTCAATGCCTCCTATGCTCCGGCATTTATTTTAAAATAGTATAATGGTAACCCAGATCATTCTTTGCAGGAGTGGCTGGTGCAAAGCCTTTTTTGTTGCAGTTCTTATTACTGAAATCCTATTTGCCATTTGTATGTGACCTGCCTATTTTCTATGGTATTTTATGGAGAAGCCAGTTCATGTGCCCTGCTTCTTCCAAGAGACTCTATTGATTTGCTAGATTTTATTTTCTTGCGATTGGTACCACATGCCTCTCTGCATGCTTTGACACGAAGTCAGATTCTGTAACGATTTGGCTGCATGACAGCAAGCATGGGACCTCCGAACCCAAACCCAAGTGAAATCACATGCAAAAGCAGAGTGTTCTCCTCTAATCATGAGCAATTGCAAACATGAGAATTTATGTTTATGCAACACAGATGTGGGACCTGGCTTCAGCCTAAAGACCAACTGTTTACAAATAAAGTCAGCATATGGACTAGACCCCTGGCAAGATTTGCAGTGAACCAGATTAAAGGTTTCTGATCAGAAGCACTGGGGGTGCTGTCATTGTAGCGTGGCAAATTAGCTGCTGGCAGTTTGAATAAGTTTGTTTCATGCAACCTACCTCCTAGGCACTAGAAAGAAACATTTTTAAACTGCTGTGTGTGTCCTGGACTGGATTCACATTGACTTGGCCACTAAGATCTCCATTTCCCAGAGTGGTACAATCAACAAGCTTCCCCACTGTTGTTCCACTGCTCCAAACAGCGGCCCATTCACATTCATAGTGGCATACGACTCACAGCACAGACAAAGTCAGCTGAAAAACATCTAGGCCAATCAAGGATGAAATGGTGGCTTCATATAGTTGATCTAATAAAAGATATCACACCTACCCAAAGAACTTTGATTTCATATAGTTGCTCTCAGGCATTTTTTTAACTTCCATTATCTCTTGATCAGACCAGTCTCTTTAACCCTCCTAGATCTAAAGCATTAATGCCCATTTTGCAGATCTTCACAGCATAAAAGTGCTTCCCAGCCAACTTTCTGGACCTTCATGCACAAGAAGATCCAGCATTTTGTCAAGGAGGTGCATCCACAGGCAATTTAACAGCTGCTTCCTGGCTGTAAGAGATGCAAAATACTATCTGGGTCATGCCTGGTATCTCTTCTTCCCTTGCAGCACGTAAAACATTTGCTTCTTTCTGGGGGACAGCGGGAGACTTTACTGCAAACCCAAAGCCCTTTACAAGGACACACCTGCTTAGTGACTGCACAAGCCTACACAGTAACCTGCAGATACAGCTTCTCAAATGTGCCTTGTTTCTAGTCCAGTGCAAGTTCACTCCTTCTAATGGGGTTCTTGCACATTAACCTCACTAGAACTGAGGAGACCTATGCAGAGGGGCTTCGTTCCCTGGACGGATAGCCCACCCCTACATAGAAAGGAGAGGGCCGTTAGCCATACTCCACCAGAGTTGCACGGCTAAGGGTAGAAAGATAAAGCAGCACTCCCAACTGCTTAATTTCTCTCTCACAGCTGTCTTTGTGGTGTTCAAGGTGGGTGGGAGATCCCAAAGAAAGTACTAATTTGTGGAACACCCCCTGCCCCAGCAGCTGCATTACTATGGGAAGGACCTGGCCCCATGAACTAGTGGAAAGGCCTGGGTCAGACAGCTGTGCTGACCCACACACAACCCAAGAGATTTACAGGGTTTGGTAGCTGACTCTCCAGCACATGCCTCCAGGAGCGAATTGGCGCTAAAATGCAGAGCTCAGGGTCAGGGGTGTAGGCTGTAGCTGCGTTGGTCTAAGGACATAGGCAGTGGGTGTTTGTGCCCAAAAGCTTGCTAAGAAGAATTTTTCCAACTATTTGAGTTGGTCTAATAAAAGATATCAGATTTACCCAAACAACTTGGGGTCAGACTCTTGTAACAGGTACTCATCCCATGGGTGGCTGTGACACACCCTAATGGCTGTAGAGCCCTTGTCTAGTCTGGTTTTCCTTCTTGCCTGCCATGGCATGATGCTATTATCCTTTAGAAGAAGGGAGGCTGCCCCAGGGCTTCCCAAGTCAGATCTCCTCTTGTGAACACAAGTGTCTGTGCTCATTTCCTTAAGGGCTAATTGCATGGCTCGAACCGACCTTATACCACACCCATGCCTTGCAGGCTGAGAGTCCAATAACTCTCTTGTTGGGCCTTGGCCTTCTCAGCCTTCTCCTCTTTCCTCTGGTTTGGCCTTCTAGCCTGGGCCCACTCTACTGGGCCTGGCTTCTTAGGCACCAGTATTGTCTGCATTATTTTAGTTCTGGGCCCCCAAGCTCTGCACTTCTCTGGGGTCTGGGCCCCCCAGCCCCAGTTTGTACCTTAAGCCATGAGCCTGGTAGGGCTTAAGGCAGTCGCATGCCCCTCAGGCACTAATGGGACCTCCAGCCCCAACTTAGGCCCTTTCCATACCACCAGTTGTAAACTGTGACAAAAACTTCACCAGCTCTAGATATAGCCAATGACAGCAATCGCTTTCTGTCTTGCAGCATGACTTCCCCTTACCCGGGGTTGTGTTGCTCTGTAAGGCACTGATATTTGGCTGGTAGTCCTCTTGCTGCTCAAGTTAGGCATTGCCCTCTTGGCTTCTTGTGGGCAGCCCAGCCTGGGGAAAGCAGCCATAGCGCAGGTCTCCAGCTGCCTATTAGGGCTGTGCAAGGCTTCGGACTGTGCTTCAGATCCAGAGAAGCTTTGGATGCTTCAGATGCCAAAGCAGTATGTGCAGATCGAAGTGCTGGCTTTGTTAGGCTTTCCAAAACGCTTCGGAGCCGCTGTGGAGATCCGGCCATAGGGTATAATGGGGAATCAATGAAATATCTATACCTTCGTTGTTTTTTGTCTGATTGGGATGACACTTGCAGGGGTGGTAGCCTCTGCTGAGAGCATGAAGACTGCCAAGTTTCAAGAAGATCGGTGCAGGGGTTTGGGGGGAACTGCACCCCAAATTCCTGAAAGCAAAACTCATGTCACATGTATATGTTACACCGCAGGGGGGTGAAAACTGCAGGGATGGTGGCCCTAGTGAGGCCACAAAGCCTGCCATGTTTTAAGGTGATCGGTGCAGGGGTTTGGGGGGAACTGCACCCCAAATTCCTGAAAGCAAAACTCATGTCACATGTATATGTTACACCGCAGGGGGGTGAAAACTGCAGGGATGGTGGCCCTAGTGAGGCCACAAAGCCTGCCAAGTTTCAAGGAGATAAGTGCCAGGGGGGTTCTGGGGCCCTGCACCCCTAGCTGTTGACAGACAAAACTCACGATATGGGTGCTTGTGGGACTGACTGTGTTTGTCTTGGGGCAGTTGATTGTCTGTACTGCAACGGACAGCAGAAAATGACCCGTTATCTTTATGTGGTGAGGTTAGTGTCTTGTAAAATCTATTTTTATGAGCAGCTGTAAATTGTCTCTCAGCACACCTGCATGTGATGGTTTCTTATGTTCTCACAGCTGCCAACACTTTCCACTGATTAATAAGCCACTACTCCATGCTTATTATTTTTTATTAACAAACCCTTCAAGCAGAGTATGCAGTCATGTCAAGTACGGGAAATAAATCAGAGTAATTGGTTAGCAATTAGTGTGGCGTAACCAGTGCTGGAAAAGTGTGCACTGCTAGTGGTAATGGAAGGCTTTTCCATAAGCTTGTTTGCATCCCGTTTTCCCCACCACCTCTTGTCTGCCCAGAACAGACGGGGCCTGGACCATGCTGTGACAAAACCCCAGGGGTCACGGTGCTCCCAGAGATACACCCTGGGTTTCCATGAACTGCTTGGTCCCCACCCTGCTGAAGGGGTATGCCCACATTATTAATTTGCCCACATTTTACCACCGCACTTTGGTAAAGTAAGAAGAAAACAAGAGGTTTTCTGCAAGGAAGAACAAATGGTATAAAAAAAGAAAAAAGCAATCAATTGCTTTGACAGTGGAATATAGTAAAGCAAAACTGACAACAGCGTTACCCTGTGGTTGGACTACTATGTAGCCCTCCTAAAAATTCCTCTGAAAATCTCCGGGGGTCAATCACGGCCAGCTCCCTCAGTTGGGGACTTCCAGTTTTCCTCTCCTCACAGGGAGCCCTCTCTCTCTCTTGCCACCTGCCCACACTTACCTTCTGGGGAGCCAGAAAATCCTTTAAAGTGTTTCTGCCTGTGGATCCATGACCTGGGCCTGTTTGTTTACTATCTTGTACAAGATAGGCATATAGGGTGTGTCTACACATTCAATTAATGTGCTTTAGGTAAATGCACATTAATCTAGCCTAGGTTAATGCGCATAGTCCCTCTGTTGGGAAGTACTAAAAAAATGTGCATTAGCCTATTTTAATGCACATTAACTAAAGAGCATGGATTTTTTGTGGCGCTTTAATGCACATTAATATAGGCTAATGAGCATTAAAGTGCATGTGTAGATGCACCCATATATACACACCCACAAGAACACCTTGGTCTAATTGGGGACTGTGCTTCTGTGTGGTAGGCATAATTTATGTCATAGCAACACATAAGAGCCTACTGAAACTAGTTCCAGGAGTTGCCCTAATGCATTGTAAGGGATAATCCTATTCTCATGATGCTTCCAGTCCACATAGGCACGACAGAAAAAAGGAAATTTGAGTATTATGGACACATTTCAAAGCTGGGGAGGCTTTCTCATGGTCATACTGGGGGACTGCAGCAGAGCTAGGAATTGAACCCATGCTCTTCAGTTGCTGTTCATTTAATAAACTCATGCCCAACCACCCTTTAAATATTAAATATTTAAGAATTATATTAAATAATGACAGTAATCCCAGGAAGAACCAGATCCAGCTTCTGTCTCATGGAGTCATGGTTTGCAATATGAGAATCCAATGTTAAAAGCATGTAAATGTCTATACCTATTCAGTGCATAAATGTTCCTGTGCATGAACGTTCTGGATCGGGTGAATGCATATAATATTATGTATCATTCATTATTCAGTAGCGTCAGTGTTACGAAACTTTCTCATCTTAATATTTTTTGCAAACAGTCACTTTAACACAAAGAAGTCGCCGTAGAGATAAGCCTGGGAAGCTGAGCTCTGTCGGAGCTGAGTTAGCTGAATAAGGCTTGGTTTCAACTTGGGCCACTTCTCATTTGCTAGGTTTCAAGCAGACCTTACACCCTACCCAAAACCGGCATTTCAAAGGGCTCCTATATTTACAGTGGGTTGAAACATTCCCAAACCCCAACATCTCTAAATGTAGGAGCATTGGAGAATTGTATGAAGTCATTTTTAACACATTTAGAATTATTTTGAAAATTTAGAGTGGAACCCACTCAAAAGACCAAGTTTCACAAGGTTTGGTGCAACAGCACCACACAAAATTGCGGGGCTTCACATGATACTAATGCAACATGCAGTAATGCATGATACTAATAAAGCTACTCCTAGAATCTATAGAAAGTATAGGATATTCCTGTAAAACACAGTGAAGTCACCCTTGAAAGTCTGGCTTGACAAATCATTTAATGAAGTTTGGCTGTTTTAGATCTGTAATGAAACTTGAAAGCAGGAAGAGTGACCTAGTTCTGTTTCAATACAAAACTCTGCCAAGCTCTAATTATAGGCCTGTTTATACTATCGCTGTAATTGCTGTGCATGTTATGTACTGCACAAACTGCATGGGACAAAGAAGTTGCCCATTTCCATTCATGTAGTGAAAGGCCTCTGTCTGTAATCAGAAAAGAGCCAGGTGTTGTGTCCATTTCTGCCCTTTCTCACACACACAAATGACCGACAACAGTGCAGTAATAGAAATATATTGGTGTTATTTGTAATCATGGCACTACATATTGAAAATCATGTCAATTCATTTTCTTAAAAGAACAAGAATAGAATAAGCCAGTACAGATGTAGCATATCCTTCTCCTGTACTGCCTAATTTTGTTGCAATGTATTTCTAGAAAAAAAACATCTTCTGACAGTGGCTGTAGCATCACAACAAGCTGAAAAAGCTGGGAAGATAAGGAGGAGTGAAATACACTGAGCCTGGTTTTGATCTCAGCCTGGTGTAAATGAGGGGTCCGTCCTCTGACATCAATGGAGTTAGAGTGATGTGAGATCGATATGAGATCTATTGTATATTTTGTGCCCCGGCCTACCTTATGCGATGAGAATACATGACCCCAATACAATGTGTTTCACCCATAGATCTCAAAGCACTTTTAAGAAGGCAACTAAATATTGGGATCCCCATTTTACAGACAAGGAAACTGTGGCGCAGAGAGGTGAAGTGACTTGCCAAAGGTCACACAGCTGGTCGCCAGCAAAGAATGAGTCCTAATCTTGCACCCTATCCACTAGACCATGCTACCCCTCTAATAGGCCAATACAATTCCAGTTCCATTTATGTGAGCACTAGCACACTATTTAGGTACAAAAGGTTTGGGGTGATTGCCATACAAGTCAGTTCACATTAACTGTACAAGGCAAAAACATAGAAAACAAAAGGAAAAGGAAAAGGAAAAGCTTTATAGAAATAATACCAATTTTACAGCAGTTAAACAGACGCTACTTTTTGTCAGATCTGATTGTTCTGCAATAGAATATAGTCTTTAGGCTGGGTTTTTCTTGTTTATTTATTATTATTTTCAGCCTTCATGGCTTTTCTAAATACTATTTTCAATATGTATGTTTTTTAAAAAAATATTTCCTTTACAAATTTGTTAAAAATAAACTTGTCCTAAAAAGCTGTCCGGCACTATTCCAAAAAGCTCTTGTAACAAATGTTCATTTTCATTTTTTTTTAACAAAAATGTCTAGGCTCCTGTAGATGAAATCAAGTTTTGACAAGAACTACAGTACAGCCAGAATTGTAAGATTTGAGGGCCAGATTCTACTCTTGCTTCATTGCTGTTCATTAAGAGAACACCACTGACCTCAACTGTCATCACTCTGGATTTATACCACAGTAATTGAGTAGAATATAGCCCTTAGTATTTCAAAATGATTCATACCTGATTCTGCAGGTAAGTCTTTAAGCCTGGGTGAAGTCAACAAGGAGGGGCCCACATGGATCAGCTTGAAGGATCTTGTTGGCCAGTACTCATAATTGATTATGTTATCTTGCCACAGTGGGAAAGCTCTCCTCATATCTAACCCCAGATCCACGTAAGGCATTTTTTTCATAATTTATTTAATGCTAATTATTCAGAGAACAAATTATTTAAAGTATATCCTTTGATAAATGTGAACCCCTTTGGCTGAACAAACTCCATGGCAATCTCTGCTTTACAGAAACATAATCTGATCCTATATTCAGTGAAAAGGCTGTTAGGATCATTGCTTTGTAATAGGGATGGACAAGAGAAACCCCAGATATGAGTATATTTTTGCCCCTATTCATCAAAGCAATCTTATTCAGGGCAGTAGGTAAGCAGGCGCTTATCTTAAAGCATATCACTAAATTCTACTGACGTGAATAAGGCTTCAGCACATCCCGACTCATGGATTTTAGACTGAAAAATGATCCAGAGAAAATTTTACACTTGGCTTCATCTCCAATAATGTATATATTCAAGGGCAAACTAATAATGTGTGTATTCAAGACAGATCCTATTTTTCCTCCTCTACTTTCTGAAAGCAAACCACAGTATTAAGTATGAATATTTTAATTGCTCTTTTTGTATTTCCTAATGGGACATGCTTATACTCATACTTCAAACCCACTTGTAATGAGGCATGCATTGAGTTCCGTAATTCAGACTCTGATCAACCCAGATTGCCAACTCCATAGAGACTGGGGCATCTTAGCTCAGGAGAAGGGACCGATTTTTGAAATGCAAAGCAGCTCTCCATGTTTGGGGCTGTTCAATTCCCAGGTTTTGCTTCATCCTCATGTCTCTTTGTAATGAACATGGGTATCACAAAATTCTGGTTACGCAGAAGCAGAATGAAAGCACCAGGGTATTTCAATGCATTACTATTCCAGTCGCAATTCTAGTTGGAGTGACCCCCTGTTTATAGTAGTCAAGTTATTCAGGTGAGTAATGAAAGCCAGCATTGTGCTGGGGCTTGAATGATACGGTAGAATAGATACTGAGATCCAGCGTTATTAAACAAGGATTGTCTTTGCCTCATTGCATCTAACAACACAGAAGAACGTTATCATTTGTATTTGTACATGGCCAAATGTACTGGGTGGGTAGCTGCTTTTCAGCAGCCAGTGATTGAGAGGTTCCCTTTGCTGTTAAGACCTAGAACAATATTGGCTTACGTAAAACATTTCTTTGCTTCAGTGAAGCCCAAAATCAGTGTCATTGGCTGAAGGGTGGATATTTATATCAAGAAAATGCTAGCCTTCTGTTACTACTCTGTCAAGATCTACGGACTATTTTGACTGAACTTTGTCATGCTGCAAGTTGAAGCGTTTACCAGAATCTCCCTTTTACCTAGTCCTAGTGAGGAAGATATATGATTGCTTTTGTATTTCCAACTCAAAGCCCTGCAATAAAGCAGATCCTTTCTGGAGTGTAGTTACAACCAACTAGTAAGCGCTTATAGCCATTCAAGAAGGCAATCTAAAGGCTGTCAGAAGTTAGTTTTTCTTAAAACACAGGACTTCTCTTCACATCCTTTCCATGTCCTCTTCCCTTCAACTTTGAATGCAAAGTCTGAGTAAACATCACAGAAATGTCCAGTTTCATGGTCTCTTGGTTAGAAAGAGAAGTCCAGCCGCTATGTTCTCAGAGGTGCATTGTGCTTTCCACCATTGACTTTAGTGAGATTTGGTTGGGCCATTATTAATTTGTTGGATTTAGTTCACATATTTAAAGCGCTTCCATTTCTTCTTATTTCTTTTATTTTCCCATTTTTAACATAAAGAGAACATAGACAATGTTCAGCCCTCACTTTCTTCGTCGTCTTCATCCTCACCCTCTTTATTAGGAGCACATCTTTGGAAGCAATGTACCAATGCTGCCAAGAAGAAGCTTGATAGAATAGCAGCAATGGAGACTGCAACTCCAGAGAAAATGATGATAAAAAGGTCCGTTAAAGATAAATTAAATTTGCATTCACTGAAGCTGACATCAGATAATTCATTCAGAAAGATTCTTCTATTTTCCACAGGCAGGGAACACTGGATTTCATGGAGACCTGCAAAGAAAAAGAGAAGAAATCAGAAGAGCACTAGTGAACTATGCAGCTGAAGAAATTAGTAGCAAGATCACTCTATGTTCTCAAGTTTGTAGTCAGCTTAATTAGATAATACCCAAAACTAATATCATATGATGGCTGGGATATGGTCCAGTTCAGATAAGTGGATCATGGTATTGATGTTCATGTACTGTAAAACAATATTGTTATCTAGAGCAGTGGTTCTCAACCTTTTTTGTGCAAGGGCCCATTTGCAAACATCAATGGCCAGTCCTGACCCAGTGCCCCTCATTCCTGACCCGCTGCCCCCCACCCCCAGGAAGCGGGGTGGGGAGGGGCATGGGGAGCCTCAAGCAGCCCCTTGCAGGCTGGAGATCTGCCAGCCTGCAAAGGAAAAGCCACCGTTTCCCACGTTTTTCGCATCGAAAGGAGAATCCATTTTTAAAGTTTGTTCCCGTCCCTTTCATATATTCTTGCAACCACTTTTGGGTCATAGATTCATACGTTATAGAGTCGGAAAGGACCGAATGGATCATCGTGTCCGACCCTCTGCCCCTTGCAGAAAAGAGGATCGAGTTTGGACAACCCCAGGTTGAGAAATGCTGATCTAGAGGAAGGAACAGTTTTTTTTTTCCCTTTGTGAAACAATCCCAACCAGGAATGAATTCCCTTCGAGTACAAATCACACCCGTGCAGAGGGTCTGCACATCTAGATCTGACCCATAGCTGGCACCACCTAAATCCCAATTATGCCCTGCTTCGAGGGTTTAAATGAGACTTGAATCATGCAGACGCCCTGCACTAGCACTAGCTTTCTATACAAGAGGAAATTCTGTAATCATTTTACTGGAAACAGGTCTTTGTCCCCGTTAGCCAGAAGACTTGCTGCCTGCTACACAAAGCTGTTGTCTTAAGTGAGGAAACAGCACACCTTTCTACCTTCCCTTCTACCTCATCAAGGATAAAAACATGATGAGGTTTTTCCTTCTGATCAAAACAACAGCTTAGGTTTAACCGGTGCTTGTTTAACTCTGTGATCTGCTTTCACCTTCTCCTCATGCTGTTATAAGAGATGCAGCTCAGCTGATATTATTCATGCATGCATTATTGAAGAATGCGTAGAGCTGGGCAAAAGTGTCAGGTATTTATAGTGAAAGCAAGAAATCTAAATTCAGAAAGTAATGCAAATATATTTGGGCACTAACAGCCAGGACACAGCAGTAAAAGGAATTGGTCTCCCCCAGCAAAGTAAGTAGAATATGGTGAATATTTTAATGGGGCCAAGGAAGGGTGTGGATGAAGCAAAAGGTAGAGTGAGTGAACTCTTCAGGGCCCTACCTGGCTATTGAAGATATGAATGTAACGAGGAAATATGAGAAATGTGTATTAGTGACCTGAGAGCTATAGCTGGTCTATTTGATACGCACTTCCCTTTGTCTGACGCTGAACACAGGAGGGCTAGAAAGGAAACCGGCCTTTCATTTTTTGATTCTGCCTTACAGAAAGAGATGCTTTTCTGGTGCAGTGCTATGCTCCTGCATGAATATAGCCTCACCTTGTTAAGGGAAGTATGATGATATGGTTTCTCCTGTGGCTGGGAATCCCTATGTCATGTAAATAATGTCTAGCTTTTCCTTCGTGCTGGTCTTGGGTGGTTGGCATTAGTAATCTAGGGCAAGATTCAGAGAGGTGCTTTACGCACCTCCAACTTTGGCACCACAATGGCCAGAATGTAGGTGACTGGCCATAACAGGCTGATACAAGGAAATGTTGATTGCTATTAATGAGGCACTTTCCAAGGTCAGTTTACAATGAATGGAGAGAGTTTTGAACCTCAAACACCCAGGGCATGTCTACACATGCACTTTAATGTACATTAGCTTATTTTAATGTGCATTAAAGGCTCATGTAAAAAAACATACTTTTTATTTAATGTGCATTAAAATATGCTAATGCATATTAAACATCAATTTTAAAAGTTTGTGCTTTAGTTAATGTGCATTGTCCAGGCTTCATGCACATTTTCCTTGTACCTCATAATAGAGATACTAGATGTAATACGCATTAACTAAAGCACATTAATGCATGTGTAGAAATGCCCCATATCTTCTGTACTCCTCTGGGACAATGCAGCCGACAAAAACCAGAGCTGGAGAACTAGAGAAAAAGCATTTTTGGGTTGTGGGACATCCATAAATGGATGGGTGGCAGCCTAGAGCTAGCCAACAGGACATGCTAAATTCAGGGGGCTTGCTCCACTCCTATCCCTCTCTGGAGCTTACAGTGTGGCACATTTGGCATTGCTACCTGCTCTAAATTGAAAATACGGTCATCTTCTAAGGGTACACACCTAACTGAACAGAACTTGCTCTGCTTAAAAGGCATGGCTGGACTGTGGTGCCCAACTTCTGTACAAAGGGTAGAGCCCTTGAACTGAAAACAGGAGACCTGGATTCTAGACCCTGCCTGGATTTGGCAAGGGAAGGGATGGAGTCAGACCCATCACATCTCCCACTTCCTACAAGAGAACCCCAACCAGCAGGCTATGCTAGCTTTCTGCACAAGAGAAAATGCTGTACTTGTTTTGCTGGAAACAGGTCGTGGTCCCTTTTAGCCAGAAGACTTTGAGTGGCAGAACCTTGCAGTCTTCTTTTCAAAGCTAAGCCACTGTGCAGCCAGGGATGTGACAGCGAGGGCAGGAGGGAGAGCAAACAAAAAGGATCCTGCATATAGCCTAGTGGTTAGGGCACAGCCCCGAGGGAGTCTGACTGTGGCTCAGTCGACTAAATTCCACCTAAATCCCATTTTAAGTGCCTAGGCTGGTTCTTGGGAATTCACTTCTTGATATAATCAACTACCTGGATTTAGCCCTGCTGTTACATGCTAGTTGCCCACTTCGGGAGTAGTACGGGAGGAGTTAGGTTAGGGTACATCACAGGCTTATTTTTCATACTTTTTCAATTTTTTTTTTTTTAAAGAAATTTTTTGTGTTCCAAGCCAAATCAGCCTAATCAAGTCCAAATCCATGAGTCAGTGCTGAACCTTAAGTGGCCCTACAACCGGCAAACATCCTCCACCCCCACCAGGGGCTTCAGATATTTCCACTGTCTTTTGGCAGGCATCCTATGTGCAGGCCCAAGCCTGGAGGCTTGGGGTTCAGATGCCCCCAAGTTTCTCCTGCCTTCAGCCATATGGCCACAGGAACAAGCTAGGGAGGAGCCTCCTATTTCCATAAAATGGGTTTTAAGTCCCAATACCTCAGCAGGTACTAAACTACTCCAGAACTGTTATCCCGGAGAAGACTTAAGGAAAACTTCCTTCATGGACCCAGATACAGATCCTATAATGTTAGGACTTTGCTTTAGGAAATTGTGACTACAAAAATTCAGCCTGACACCAGCTAGTTCTTTCATGTTTTGGTGCCTTTGCGGCTCTCCTCTTCCCTCTCCCCCACTACACAATACACAGCTGCCATCACAAGAGGATACCAGGCATCTTGCTCATAGTTCTCCAGCAAAGGAAGAGTCTGAGTCATTTTCTCAAGGCATAATGCCACCTGAAATATGTGCCGCACGTTTCTCTTGAGCCTGGGGTGCTGTAGGATTGTGTGTTGGAAGCCTATGCAGGGCTTTTTGTACCTTTTAAAACCGTTCTGTCCGCATGGTTGAGGAAGGTGAGGAAGTCAAAGTTCTCAACATCTTCACAAAATTGGAGCTGTCCTGTATTCCCCGCACACATAAAGGTTTCCTTAGAGCTTATGCACACAGGCTGGCAGACTGGGACACCCAGGGAGTGGGAGGAAGGTGGAATTTAATTATAATGTCTGTGACTGCGGAGGACAGCCAGGGAATTTATGGAGTAATGTGCTGCCATTTCACAGCTCACGGTGGAGGTTTCTCTATGCCCCAGCCTCCTGCAGAGATCTCCATAATGCACAGCCTGTTTCCTAGATCTGTGCTTTGGGTCAATGACAAACTTCAGAGAAACATCCCACATGGTAACAATAAGAGTGAAAAGCAAAACAAGAATATAAGGACTTCTCCTCCCCCTAAATCCCTTGCAAAAAAAAACAAGGGCAAGAGAAAATGTAGAGGTCATGGCTGTGAGAGACCTATATCTCTCCCTTTCTCTTCTGTTAGATTGCAAAGCAATGAGTGTTTTTTTTAAATAAAAACATTGCAATTTATAGAGGCCACTGCCAATTTTCAACTGACAAAAAGAGGGCAAGAGCTGTGACCCAACATCACCTGGATCTACTTCCTCCTGCTGGAAATATCTGCCATTTCTGCAGTTGAGCGGATCTCGAATTGGCCTCCTCGGTCATCTACAGAGGCATGGATGGCTTTCCTATTTACTGAAAGACTGTCATCCTCGTATTGAGGGTCTGCCATCACCACTGACTAGTTTGTCACAAGCAGGTTTTTTTGTTATAAATCAGGAATACAGAGCAACCATATTATGTCCTTGTGGGGTGCCTGCTAGGCTCATTTCCATCTAGCCACCTAGTCTTCTGTACTCCTCTGGACAACGCAGCCAACAAAATCCAGACTTGGAGAACTAAAAGGAAAGCCTTCTTGGGCGGTGGAACATCCTAGCAGAAGGGATTAGATGCTTTTGCTAATGAACTTCTAGCAGAAGGAGAAGGCTTTATTATTATTACTAAAAATGAGCACATGAACCGACAAACTAGAGTTTCCTAGATTCCTACACCCTGGAAAAGCCAACCAGCAGAAGTCTACTATGATCTCTTTACACTCATTAAATGCTTATGTCAGCTTTTCCAGTGTATCAAGTATACAGGGTGCTGAGGAGTACTGAAAATCTGACCCCAACTGCGGGCAGTGAACATGTGAATGGTGAGCATGTTTAGAAAATGGACTCCCAGTGGTGCTAAACAGAGAGCCCTAAAATGGAGCCAGAATGGGCCCAGGGTTTAACATCTGTCTAGGTTCTCCAAGAGTCTGAAACCACTTCTTTGAACAGCACAGTTGTCTTTCCAA